CCCCCCCCACCCCTCTTCCCACGCGTCCTCTACCATCCTTTCCTCCTTCTCTTGCCCCCGATCTCAGGCTCCGAGTACCGACTCGAGCTCGTTACATTAATTAAACAATATTTGCGATTAATATTTGAGATAATCATCAGCGCCTCAAAGCAGCCTCCGCTCCTCTCGGAGGATGCGGAACATCACGCGTGCTAATCGGATTAGCGCTTGTGAGGCTGCGGCTCCTTCTCTCTCTCTCTGTCTCTCTCTCTCTCTCTCTCTCTCTCTCTCTCTCTCTCCCCCTCTCTCCCTCTATCTATCTATCTATCTGTTTATCTAACTATCTATCTTTCTCCCTCTCTACTCCATCCGTTCTCGGTTTCCATCTTTCTCCTGCGCTTCATTCTGCTTGTCTGTCTCTCGCTTTCGCTGCACTGCACTGATACGCCGGTAGTTGGAATCGCGCGAAAATTGCGACGTCCTTTTGGCGATAATCGTGCCAGTGCTTGAAATAGCGTTAATTCGCGGACGAGTTAAGGATCGTTTCCGGCGTGACGATTGGGATGTTTCTATGTCTACGTGTATCAGTGCGCGTCAATTGTGCTATTGCCGTTAATTTAAGAAATGACGAATTAAAGAAGAGAAGTTAATAGTCTCTTATCATTTTTTGGAATAAAAGCTATATCGTACTTTAAAAGTGGATAAGAGACAGCTTTGCCCCATCCTAGAAATTTCACATATTTGTTTAGCTATACATATTTTTTCTTTAACAAAATGAAAAAAATTACGAAAACATGTTTGCCTAGATTTTTCTTTATTGTACCTTGAATGTAATACATGCAACAAAGTTTAATAGCGATTTAGAATCCGGACAAAAAATTATTTCAATAAGAAATGGATATGTTTTCAAAAAAATAATTAAGATAAAATGAGAAAATTTTTATTTAAGTTATAAAATTGTTATATAGAGTGTCGCACAACTACTACATTTTCTGTTAATAATGTATTCTTGAGGTAATTTTGAAACGGAAATCCTAATACAAAAAAATGTCGAGGCTACAATAGTTTTTGACTTATAATTGGTTAAAGATAGTGTGTAATTTAAAAACTATTATAGTCTTGATATTTTCGTATTAGGACTTTCGTTTCAAAATTACTTCAAAAATATGTCCTTAAGAGGAAATGCGATAATTGTGAGACACCTTGTATATATAACATTTATTTTTATACATAGAAAACGTCCAATCCCAGTAATTTTTTAATAAAAATTGTATATATCTGATACATCTTTAATATAAGCTCTTGTGTGAGAATTTATTCGAACCATTGCGCTCTACATTTTTGCACTAAAACAATTTTCTACATCTATATGTATAAGACTATTAAGATTGTTGACGGTAAAAGGAGAACACATAGCAATACTTCAATGCAGCAAGAAGTAATTTCTATCCCCTTGTCAGTTTCATCCCACAGACAGCGATCCCAATATCCAAAAATAGGAAAGAAACGCATTCTACTTTAAACTAACTTCAAATTAAAAAAATTCAGTTTACACTTTGTCATAATATATATATATATATTTACGTTTTCAATTCTATTTTTATTCCCCATATTTACATTCATTGTTTCCTCTCGTCAAATTTTCAGCGCCACGGGGATAGGCGCAGGCTTCAGGCCGGTGGAACCGCCAACGTCCCTCTTCTTCTCGCCTCATCTGGCCGCCCAGTTCTCGCCACCGCTCTTCGGTAATAAAGTCGTCAGCAGCGCGTCGACGTCGTTGACCTCGACGACGCCGTCGTTATGGACCACCAGCGACCAGCATCGGCCGGGCAGCCTTCAGGAAATGTTGTCTTGGTCGCCAACCGGCTGGCCCGGTTCTCTCTGCGGCTGTTGCAAACCCGGTACCGGCGGCACCGGCACCGATCTCCACCGAAGTAACAGCCTGGCCGAGCTCCGAAGGAAAGCTCAGGAACACTCGACCGCCTCGGCTCTCCTCGGTGGTCTCGCCGGCTTCCCCGGAGGGCTACCTCTGCCTCTTCCCCTGCCGCTGCTGCCGCCGTTGTTGGGCCTCTCCAGGCGACCGGAGCATCATCATCACCATCACCTGCCCGGCGTGGTGCATCAGATACAACCCACTACCAAAGAAGATCCCTAGGATCGCCTCCACAAATGCCGGAATCGTCTCGTAAACGCAAGATGTAAATCTCAAAGAGATATTCTGCGCGTATCGGATGGTTGCAAAGTCGAAGCTAGACAGCGATATAACAATCTCGGTGAGTTCGGATCTCGATGCTATTTAGAAGCTGAAGAGTGTTATATATGAAGAATGTTACAAATATAGAATGTTATAAATATATATAGAATGTTATACGTTCTGTGTTCTTTCATATACGGAGACTTATTTTTCTAGCTCTTTTAAAGTAAATATTACCGAAAGAAACGATCTTTTCTATTAGATTTTATTTTGTAATTCGCAGTTCTCATCCTTCAAGTCGTTGATTTCACTGAATGAGAAGGATTTTCAGTTTTTTTCTCCGAAAGTTATACATCAGCGTCGAAAATTGAACTCATCGATGTTATACCATCAATCTTTGTAAATGCTTTCCTTATTATAATTACATTTTAATCTCCTGGTATTTTTTTTTTTTAACGGAAAAAAGCTTCTCTGAGTTTCGACGTTGTGATAGTTCAAGCAAGTTTAAGGGTCTCAATTCCGGAAGACGACGAAGAATTAACGAACCGCAATGTTGCAAGGTGGTAACTTTGGCTTGGTAAGGCGGCTCGCGCAAACACTGCAAATTGTATTCATATTGTCTTCGATTGCGACTTGTTAAAGTAAAACATGGCGCGAATCCTGTTAAGTAACTTGCGCAATCTTGATAGGAAACTTATTTTAGCTCATATACGTTATATTATAATACGTTAATTTTTAGAAGGGAGAAAAGTTTTCCGTTTTGCAACAAATTTCACAATCAACTTCATTTTTAACTATACGTAAGACAGGATCGGTTTTACAAAGTTCCGTAAAGTGTTAAGCACTTGTTTAATTTGCATCCTTTTTTTTTTCCACTTTAAAAGTTACCAATTGATTATCTATTATTATTCTCGATGTTTCCTGGCTCTCTATCGTTTCGGATTTTGATAAAAATGGGAAACAAACGAGATACCATTAATACTCATTGCATATGCAATAAACCGTTGAATAATGGAGCACTATCAATTTGCAGATTACTTTGTTATATCCGCGAACGTGATGTAAATAGGCGAGGTGCATTACAATAATCTTCTGTAGTATTCTCAGACACACATAAACCGTTTTCTCACGATATATATAATCAGCAATAGCGTCTGAATCTTCATATTACGCAGAATTTATATTTTATTTATTGCCTCAACTTGCGACCACCAGACACGTTTGTATCGCCTACTATTCACTATTTACAACGTATGAAAGCTCATTAAGTTCCATGTGTATCGTGTGAAATGTTTGACGAATCCGTTAATCGTAGCGAAGAGTGTTCCGGACGAATTCTGTGAGAGGGGGATATTTCGGACTGGCTTTTTGAATTTGGAATGTCAATACGTCGCGATACACATTTGTATTGTACATACGTAATGGGAGAGTAAAGGCGGCGAGAACCGGGAACGAGAACGACGCGCAATCGCGCGTCGGGACCTGCAAAGATGTGTGGCAAGGGTGTGTTTACAAATGGTTTCGTTTCCTTCCACGCGAGTATAAGAAGACGCGACGGACCAACACGTGCCTGATGCGCTGTATATTCAATTGCTCGATACGCTCGACCAGTCGATTCGTTCAAGCCACGCGGACAGGCTCGAGTGTGCATTCATCATAAAATTCCTACGAGCGGGAATCGAAATCGATATAATCTCGGCTCAGTTTTTCGATACCGCTGTCAGATGGAGGAGAGGAAAATGTCGGATGTTTCGGATAGTCGTCGAATTAAATTGATCTCACGGAGATTATATGGATTTTCATCCCCGGCCACAGATGTTAAAGTGAAGAAAACTCGTTTCGAGTTGGCTAACTACTCTTATATGCCTTAAAAAATCGTCGATCGGCCGGCTATATTAACCGGATTTCAAATCTTTGCTACGTTTGCCGAGTATCGTAATTTATCAAGTAAAATCCGTCGCAAAATTTTGGCGCAGAAATAAAAGAAAGAGAGAGAGAGAAAGAGAGAGAGAAGCGCCATGCGTGAAAGGGAAGGCGAAATTACTGCACGGATTTAGTTTGATAATTACAACGAGATAATTTCGACGAGATAACGATAATTACATTTATGTCGTAAAAAATCCCTCTGAATTTTTCGCGAAGCGAAAGGCGTAGAAGCGAAACGGACGGTAGCTGTTTGTAGAGACCTGTATATTACCTCCCGATAAAAAAATAGTCAGTGCTAATCAAAGATAGCCTAATGAAAGGTAATAGCGTAAGGTAGCGATTAACTGTGTAGTCAGAACTGTGGTAGCGATAATAAACTTGTTCTCTCATGTGATGAATTCTGTGTGTGTATAAATCATTCATTCGCATTAATTATCTTGCAGCTGTCCCTCGTACACGCGAGTGTTCGCAAGTATTCGAATTCAGTTATCCCGCTCCATTCCGTTTCCACCGTTCCGATTTTCCCGTCCCGAAAATTCCGATTCCGTAACTTATTTTGCAGCCGCGCAGCCCGCGTACCGTGAGATTGCATACCGCGGATGTCGCCCCCCGATCGCGATTCGATCTCGGTGCAATAAGTTCTCCGTTCTCGCGTCCGCATCACCGGAGAACCGACTCCTTCGATATCCCGTATAGACAAATAATTGTGTGCCATAACTAGAGAATAAGCGGGGATCGAGTAGAGCCGAGATCGACTAAAGACACACAGGAGGTGGAAGAAATGATGCAGGAAGAAGAGAGAAAAGACGCAAGCTCCGCGCGGAAGTAGAATCGCGAGTGGAAGAGCGAGAGAAGGTAAAGGGGGAGGGGGGCGCGAGTCGGCGAAGGCAACGGCAAGGGCCGAACGGAGGACAGAGGGGGTGAAGGAGGGGAGGGGGGAGGAGGGGGGAAGGGGGAGTGTTGGCAATCAATGCTCCTCATAAGAAAAGCTCGCCCTCTCTTATGGGATCAACCCTCCTCGGGGAGGGGGGGGGGAGGGTACACGCCGAGTCTCTTCTCGCGGGGTAAAAGGAAAGGAGAGAAAGCGCGCGGAAGAGGCGTAGAAGAAGGTGGAGGATGAGAAGGAGACCGAGAGAGGACGACGGCGCGCGGGAGGGCGAAATGGAGACGCGAGCGAGGGGGTTGTTCCCGGCTCGACCAACCAGCGGCAAGACGCCATTGATCGGCACGTGGCTCCCGGTTGGTGCAACGAATTCC